GGCGTGGGGACCCATCATGGGGTGCAAGGAAAGGGTGGGTGTGTGGGTGGGCGCATAATGGTGTCGCCGCTGCAGGGCCGGGACGATCATGGCGGTCCAGCGCCGCACGGCACACGGGTGTGCAGGGTGTCGGGATCGCCGGCGACGCCGCCGTATGCCCACCCAGGTGCGCCAACCCCAAGTCAGGCGTTGGAGACCGTGGCAAGGCCCGGTCCCGCGCCCGTCACCAGGGCCCCTGGCCTGCCCCGGCAAGACACCAGCGCGTGGCGGCTTGCCACCCAAACCAGCACACTGGGCACCCACAGGCAAGCACGAGAGGAGGGCCCCAACCGTGGGATCGCAACCATGGGACCCGCCCCCACCTGCGATGGCCATGAGCTCCTTACTGAGCCGCACGCCCCTGTGGCCGTCCTCGTCCTGGCCCTCGTACACGCACGTGAAGGCCGCGTCGTTGGCGGCCAGGTTAGTGCGCACCACATGCTGCAGCTCGTACTTGGCGCGCCTGTCGTCGTCGATGTTTTCGAGGTTGGGTGTTTTGGCGGCTTTCGAGTGTCACGAGGCAGCGCGTCCAAGGAGCTACAGTGGGCTCTGGTGTGTGCACACCGCAACCGATACGAGGCAGTATGGTGTATTGGGGGTGCGAGATGGGGAAGGCAAGGTGCAGGGCCGCAGCCAAGGTGAAGCCGCGCGCACCAGCTGTCCTTGCGCTTGTTGGAGAGCAGCATCGCGGCGCCGCCGACGCGGAAGAGGCAGTTGGGGATGAGCCTGGGGTGCAGGGGGGTGAGGGGGCGGTGGGGGTCGTCAACACCTGCGGCGGCCAGGCACAGCACTTTTCCTTGAAATAAGCGCGGCCTAGGGCCTCTCTGTCCACGCCTTCACATGCATGTCACATTGTTGTCAGCCCCACCCGTAGAACCGGTGCTTATGGGTTTGCCATAAGCACAGCACCAGCACACGTTGTAGCAACAAGACGTTCCCATTGTGGCAGCCACAAACGCTGTGTCAAGCCTGAGACCCTAGGGGCCGCGCCGCGCTCGCGTACACGAGGGGGGGGGGGCTCACATGGAGCGGTCGTTGCCGGTGTACCAATTCTGTGTGATGTTCTCGGTGGATACCACGAGGGCGTAGGAGTTGGGCAGAAGCTGCAGCATCTGGCGCGCCAGGTCGATGGAGACGACGCCGGCTGGGTGTGCGTCAAAGAAGGGTGGCAGGGCAGGGCCGGCGGGGGCTCAAGTAAGGGAGCGGGCAGCGCGCACAGGAGGACCGGCGCGCTGGGGCGGCCCCGACTGACAACTTTTGGACGGAAGAGAAGCGGCGTCTCGCGTCAACGGCAACGCGTTTCGAGCGCAGCGCGGCAGGGGTGTTTGGGCCGCGCCGGGGGCGCTGCGCGGCGCGCGGGCACCCACCGCTGCAGCCCATGCCCCCGAGGTTGTAGTTGATGGTGTTGGAGCCCATCTTAAAGTGGTTCATAATCATGGCGCTCAGGCTGGGGGTGGGGTTGAACAGGGAGCAGTTGACGATGACGATGCCGATCTGGCGGGGCTGCACGCCAGCCTTACCCAGCACCTCCTTGATCGCGCTGAAGCACACCTGCGGTACAACACCGGGCGAAAAAGCAGGTGTCAGTAGGCGACAGGGGCTTTCATCGCGCGCGGGTCGTGCACCCAACAAAGTATCCTCGAGAACCGTGCACCGCGGCAGGCTGTGGGTCGGCCTGGGTCGCCAGTAGACCCCAGGCCTACAACGGGCGTGGGCGCCTGCGCCGCACCTGCTCGAACTCCCAGCGCGCGTCGCTCATGGAGATGGCCGGCGGCTTGGCGTTGAGGCCTGGGGGGAGGTACGTGTCGTCGCCCAGGCCGCTGCGGGCGAGGATCTTGGACTGGAACTCGACATTCTTCGGCGTGAACTTCTGCGGGATGATCGTGCGGGGGCGATTGTGGAGGGGCGGGCTTATCAGCGGGGGTTGGATGTATTTCGGGGCGCAGGATGAGGCTTGCGAGGCGAGGGGGGTGGGAGTTAGGGTGCGCGTGCTACGGGGAGGGCCGGGGTTCAGAGCACGGGCGGCGCTTTCACATGCAAGGTGCAGGGGTTGGGCTGCTGCACTGACAGCGCCGGCGTGGCCTTGGGATGCTGCGCAGGGCAGGCGCGAGGCGCCCCCCTCACCCCGCATTCGGCGGTGTTGTGCATGTGGGAGACCTTGTCCATCTTCCAGCTGGGGGGGGAGGGGGCGGTGAGGGGTGGTACAAAGGGTCAGCGAGCGCGATGGGAGGGGACCGCAAGCGCCGTAGGCACGCCTTTTGAATCTGATTGACCCCGCTTGTTCCACGTTAACATTGGCAGGTGCCGAAATTCATCCATGACGGCAGCTGCAATACCCGACAGGCCACGGGCCCCTGCCCTCTGCGCCTCGAACCACAAACGCTCATAGCACGGCCCCAAACACAACGCACCCAGCACGCAAAGCGTGCGTTTTCTCCCAGACGCGCCGGCGAACCCCGTGCACTGAACCCCGTCGTGGCCGCGCACGACGGGGCCGGCCCACCTGTCGGCGGGCCTGTGCACCGCAAAGTCCACCAGGTAGACCGGCCGCGTCTGCAGCAGGAAGAAACTGAGCATGGCGGCGACCAGCATGGAGCAGCACGCCACCACCGTCACCTGCGGGCGCAGGTAAGATCCGCCGCCGCGGCGCAGCAAGCGGCGGGGCGAGGGGCGCTCAGCCGCCTGTGACAGGGCCGCTCGAGCAGCGTCGCCAATGGCGGGCGGCGGCTCGTCGAGGGGCGGCCGCAGGCGTGCGGGGCGCGGCGGGACGGCGCGGCGGGACGAGGCGGGTGGCGCCTTTCCCAGCGGCGCACCAGGTTGATTGTGAGGTTCGTGGCCTGGGCGACGCTCCAGAGGGCGGACAGCTGCCCCATACGCAGCATGTTGCATAGCTCCAGCTGCGTGGGGGCGACGCGGAGGGGGCCACAGCTGAGAGAGGGCTGGGCGCCGCCCGCGGCGGCGAGGGCTGGGCGGCTGGCTACTGGTCCAGATTGCGAGGGGATGACGCCGCTGGCGCATCCCTGAAGGGTACGGCCCTCGCACAGGCTGCTGACATGGTCACCATGCGGCGCTGCCGCAAGCCGGCCGCGGCGCGCCTGCCCAGGCGCCGCGTTTGCCGCAGCTTCCGCAGAGCGAGCACTCGGGCAGGGGCGCCTCGCAAGCCAGCGTGCGGTCTCACCCCAAGTGTGGCCGATATGGCCAGCAATGCGACCTTGGGCAGGTGCTTCCATACTGCCGTGTACCCACGGTAGATATACTTGACCGCTATGTCGACCGTGAAGTCTGCCCCGGGCAAAAAGTGTGTGAGGGAGGGTCCAGTTGCGGCGCAGAGCGCAGCGCCCAGTCACGCCCGCGCATGCCCCCCGATCGCCAACACAGAGCTGCCGCGCCGTACCACCGCATCATAGGGTCAAACAAAAACTTCATAGCAATTAGAAGGGCCCCTGGCTCGCGTGCGGTTGCAAAACGTTTGGACAACGCAGGTAAACTGCGGCCGATCGGCAAACCAGCCGAAACCACCCGCGTGTGCACCTGGCAACACAATGCTCGATCGTGCGGGTCCATTTTGTGGCTGCATGGCGACGCGTTGCCCGTCCCGCGGGCTGCGAGCGCGTCCCTTGATTGTGCGTTGCCTTCCGAGGGAACAAGAGCGTAGCCGAACGAGAGTATCAATAATAAGAGAACAATATTATTGCGGATTGCGATTAATCACATCGAGTCGGACCACTCGAGATGGTGATGAAGCGCCCTGCTCAAATTTTTTGACAGACACTCGCAGACCACTCTATCGGCGTCGAGCTCGGGAGAGTCTCGACTCACACTTCCTCAATTGATTTGTTGACCTGCCATCATGAAGCGACGGCCAGCTGAGCAAGCACCCGCCAGCTGGCTGGGCAGCGCGAATTCGGCACTGCGGCGCGGTTGAGGCGCGGTTGAGCCGTTGCCTTGTGGTCATGCTTCAGTCCGCGCATGCGAAGCGTGCAGCGACTACCTGATGACTTAGCAGCGCGATGGTGTGCATGATGCGCCCATTAAAACCTGCCGGAGGGGCAATGCAGTACCAAGGATTTGCTGGACTGCCCACTGCCGGCTGTAATCAGTGCGTCAGTTGTCAAGCGAGTCGAGTTGGGTCGGCTCAGCAGCAGTTGTTCAACTGCTGCCCGCTCAGTGCCCGCTTGAAGGCAGTTCATGGTGCTAGGGACAGCAAGTTGCTGCGATTTGTCAATGCGACACACGACGACGTGGGGCAGTGTGAGCCGTTTGTGTCACTCCCGCTGTGCAGGGCAATGCAGGGCAGTGCAGGGTGGTGCAAAAAAGGGCAAGAGGCAGTAGTCATATACACGCAGACCGCTTGGTCCCGTGCATAGCTCAATTCTCGCACGCCCATGTACAACAGCAGTGGCAAGGAACAGCGAGCGGCACGCGTGCAGGGTCCTCAAGGGGCAAGGTGTTCGGATGGGGTCAGGCAACCGCACGCAAGCGCTGATGGGTGGGGCAGCGATGGCATTTCTTCACTACTCATGAGATTTGTGGTGCAAGCGGCGTGGTGTGGCGGGCCGGCGTATGCGAGCGTTGCCGTTGCTGTTGCTGTTGAGACATGCACAATGTTGCACTCAGCAACCCGCAAGAGGACTTATGGGATGACCTGTGCTGAGGGTCTGCCTGGGCTGGCCCTGCAAGCTTTAGACTTCGCCAGCAAGCAAGTGGCGTACACCAGTGAACAAATTTCTCTCGGGCGTGGGGTTTGAGGCGGGCCGAATCGGACGTTGCGGCTATCGCAATGAGTCATAGGATTGGAGTAAATGCGTGTGCTCTTGGCTCTTAACTGTTGTGACGGCACCTCAAAACTTGAAAATCCCGGGCACACCAAGCGCGCAGGCGGCGGTTTGCGCTTGTCGGGACGGTCTGCCCTTGTGTCCGCCGCTTTTTACGCCGCGTGTTTGCTGCCTGCCTGCGCGATTCGGCGGCTGTTCGCTGTGGACAGGACTCGAACAGCACAATATTGGTGTCTTGAAGATTACTTACCATACAAGGTCTCCTGCGGGATGTCTCATCAGACTGCAATTCCCAGCTGAGCACAAGATCGTTTGGTGGTCGCGAAGCAGAGGGGGAGTATATAGCCGTGATCATGGCCACGCTAGACGACGAGCTCCTCCTCATTGCGGGGAAAGGCAGAAACAAACGAGGCAAGCGTGGCCGCAGCGATTCAGAGGACGACGAGGACTGGGACGACGATGATGAGTACCAGGACAGCGAAGAGGAGAAGAAGCCTGCCAAGAAGCGCTCTGCCGCGGCCAAGGCCAAGGCGGCGAAGCAGGTGAGCCCCGCTTTGACACCGCCAGTTGCTGCGCCCTGCTTTCTGCTCTCTTGCCACGCGCACTTGGTGCTGCTGCTGGCCCGTGCAATTGCAGTACAGAATGGCCCATTAATGTGCAGTGCCTGCTTTCATTGGCACAGCGTGGCAACACTCCCCCGTACTAGAGCTCGCCGAAGAAGAAGCGCGTGCGCAAACCACGTTTCCTGTACGCTGGCGCGCGGTGCGCAACGGCGCCTGTGCGCCCTACGCCACCTCGCTGCTGCAGGAGCTGGGCGATGAGGATGAGGACGACGATGATGAGAACTCGGATGATGAGGCGAAGCTGGCGGCGATGACTGAGCTGGAGCGGGAGCTGTACCTGTTTGAGAGGGACGAGCGGCGTGCGCGCGAGCGCGAAAAGCAGCAGGCGCAGCAGCAGGCGCGGAAGGCCAAGGAAAAGGTGGGCGTCGGTGCTGCACGCAATCGGGGCATCCGGTGTGCAGGGGGGCCAGCAGACTGTGCGAGCCGCAGGCTGCGTGACGCAGCAGCGGCCGCACCGATTTAATGACCCTGCACGAGAAGAGTAGTGCATGTGTGCAAAGCAAGCGCGTCCCAAGTTGGCGACCACAGGGCCCGCTGCTGTGGCACGTCGACTGCGGCCTGCTTTCTCAGGATTGTGGGCACCCCAATTAATCATAGCTGCCTCCTACACACCGGCCCCGCAGTCTGTGGAGGTGCGGGCCTCGTCCAGACGCGCGCGGCCCGCCACAGGCGCGGACACAGCAATCGGCAAGCTGGCCGCAGCCCGTCAGCAGCGCGAGAAGCGCGCCGCGCGGCGCAAAGAGGAGGAGGACGAGGAGGAGGAGGAAGAGGAGAAGGGGGAGGAGGAAGAAGAGGAAGAGGAGGAGGAGGGCGCGGCCGAGCCGTCGACAAGCGAGCGAGAGGAGGAGGCTGCGGAGGAGGCTGCGGCGGCGCGGCGGTTTGGGGCGCGGGGGGCGCGTGGCTACGACGAAGGCGAGGGCGTGGAGGGCGAGGAGGAGGAGGAGGATGAGCCGGCTCTTTTGGCGTCTGTGCTTCAGGTGCGCTTTGAGCTGCTCCCAGGGGCCGGCTGCATTTAACCAGCGTTGGCAGGGACACAGGCGAGGCTGCCTCCCTAGCTGCATGTGTGCAGCAGGCATGCCTTCGAAAATGCAGCTGTCCACAATACTTTGGATTGTGCTCGGTGCAGCAGCAGCCCTCACCTTCCCTCTGCAAAGTACTCTTCTTGATTGCCCCCGTGCATCGCACCCGGATGGCCCCAACCACCACTATCCCTGCACCTCTTCGCCCTTCGCAGATGCAGCTGAAGCGCGACATGCTGGAGCAGTGGCACAATCAGCCCTTTTTTGACGAGGTGGTGCGCGGCTGCGTCGTGCGCATCGTGTACGGCACCTTTGTTGACGCGGCCGGCCAGAAGCAGCCCAACTACCTTATGATGCGCGTGGTGGAGGCGACGGACCGGCAGCCGTACAGGCGCGTGCGCGTTTGGGGAAGTTGGCTGGGCTGGGAACGGGCGCGTGGGTGCACTGGCGCCCGGGCGGGCAGCAGTGAGCATGTGGCTGGCCGCTCAGCGGCGCGTGGCCCAACCATCAAGTGCTCAGCCGGCTAGGTGCAGCCTGGCATTTGTGCCGCGGAGAACCAGGCCCCCTGCTTGGGTCCTTCTTGTTCGCCGCACCTTCCCTGGCACCTCATCACATCTAGTCAAGTTTCTGTATAGGTCACAAACAGCCCAAAACACCCCTCTCACCGATGGTTTCCCAGGTTCACGCAGCAGCCGGGGGCGCGCACCAGCAAGCATCTGGTGCTGGAGGACGGCGGCCACAGCAAAGCCATGCAGATGGCCCAGATCAGCAGCAAGGAGATCACCCAGGAGGAGTTTGACCGCTGGAACCGCCACTGCGAGCGCGGCCAGGCCCGCAAGATCACGCGGCGCGACGCTGCGACGGCTGCCGCGCAGATCCAGAGGGCGCTCAAGTGAGGGCCCAGGCGGGGCGCGGGCTGGGAGGGCAGTGATGTTTGGGGGGATGAGACAGGGGTCTGGCTGGTGGCATCTGCCGCCTGTTCTCAGGCCTCTCTACCTGCCAGCCCCGCGCATTGTGTCCGGAGAGGGCAAAGGCAGCCCCTCGAGTGTTGTGCCTCGCTTTGCAACTCCCTGCCTCGAACGGCGGCTCCTGCTCCTCAGCCTTGCTGCCTCTGTCGCCTCGTCCTGTGGGCCGTGCCCTTGCCTGTCCAATCACGCACGTTCAACCACCCTGCCTTTTTACCCCAGCTACAAGTTCACGAAGGAGGACATCCAGCGCAAGCTGGCGGCCAGGAGGGAGAAGGGCGAGGTGGTCGGCGGCCTGGTCACGGAGAAGGCGCGGCTGAGGGGCCTGCTGGAGGCGGCGCAGTCGGCGGGCGACGCGGAGGCGGCGGCAGAGTGGGTGGCCGGGCGCCGCGCGCGCGGGTGGCTGGCCATGAACGGGGCCGGCTGGATGCATCGTGGCCGGGCGAGACGCCTTGGCAGCGCAGCCTCCACAAATTCGAGCTCTGCAGGAGCTGTTGCAGCACCACTCTTATTGCCGGTGCCCCTCCTTTGATACAATTCACACAAGCGCAACCTCACTCACCACCCCAAGCATTGCAGTCCTTTCTCAACCCATCGCCGCACCTCACCGCACCGCACACTCCTTCCGGCCCGCCATCAAGGTTGAGGGCCAAATTGGATGAGCTGGAGGCCAACCAGACTGCCCAGAGGCGCGCAGCCGCCGAGGCCAAGGGCGGCATGGCGAGCATCAACGCCCGCAACCGCACCGCAAACTTTGAGAAGGCCCTGCGCAACGTCGGCAGCCGCCCCGAGGGCGACGCGGGCCGCGGGGACGGCGGCACGGACGTGTTCTCTCGGCGGCAGACGCAGTCCAAGGTCTACTGGCAGACCGGGAAAAAGGCGGACGCGAAGGAGCAGCCCGCGGGCGGCACGCCGGAGCCGCAGCGGCGGCAGCAGCAGCAGCTGGAGGCGGCGGCGGCGGGGCCCGGTGGCCCCGCGGCGGCGGCGACGCACAAGCTCAGCCGGACGCTGAGCAAGATGGAGCCGTCTGAGCTGCTGGGGTTGCTGGACATCGGGGTGGACCTCACACTGCTGCCCGGCGGCGGCGACGGCGGCCCCGGCGCGGCGGTCGCCGCCACGGCGCGCCGCATGCTGGGCGGCAGCAATCGGTGGCCGCTGAGCGACGCGGGGCGGGCGCTGGCGGTGGGCGCGCCGGCTGTGGGGCCGCGCGCCGAGGTGACTTTGAGCGAATGGTTCCGGCGGATGCAATCGACTGCGCACTAGCATCGCATTGTATTTGCTACAAGCTTTGCAATCGACTGGGGAAGGTCCGGGTTTTTGGGTCTCAACGCCGCAGGTTGTGTCCCCCGGTGCGTGGTGTAGTTTGGTGGGCTGCAACCCCTGCAGGTGTAAACCTGTAGAGCCACTTTGTCTCAACTAGTCTGCAAGGCACCTTTAAAATGTGACCAAGTAACTACATGGCAGCAAGGGTCGAATGCCTATGCAGCCTTGTTGCAGCCTGTGCCAGGGTCGCATGAGCGGCAGCTGCCGTCACTGATGCTGCTCGTCAGCTGCCCACACCTCGGCAACGACCCTGGCGCCATGTCAGTGCGTTGCTCAGGTTCGATGCAGAATAGGTAGCCGCCTAGTCACACTGTGCTGGCACAACAGCGCTTCTCGGCCAAGATGGGGATTGGAACGGAGTGGCTTGGCCCCGTTCATGTCAATCTTACGCTTAGATAGCCCTGTACATAAGTGGTTCTACTTATCCGGTTCCCATGGGCTCCGGAGGCAGCGATCTGTTGAGTGCCTGCCTTCAAATGCTAATCTCTCCCATGCAGCCTGGATCGCGTAAGTAGCACCTCGTGAGAACAAAAATATTCCAGCAGCTAGGATCAGGAGGTCATAGCGGGGGTCGGCGCCATGTCTGGGTCTGGCGCGCCGCGCCCGAGTGTGCCGGGCAAGAAGTCGGAGGAGAGCGTGTGCGTTGCAGTCAACATCAGGCCCCTGATTGAAATTGAGCTGGACCAGGGCTGCCAGGAATGCCTATACGTCACACCAGGCCTTGGCCAGGTGCGCTTGCAGCGGCTGCGCTGCTGGGCATGCTGCGTGCCGCCAGCGGGTGCTGCACAACCGCAGGCAACGCCAATTGGGGTGGGGACAGGGCGCTCAGGACCCTCGATTAATGATACGCACGCCCGCACCACGCCCTGATCTGTGATGCTGCACCCGGTCCAGGTGCACACAGCCGGCAACAGCCAGTCTTTCACGTATGATCATGTGTTTGGCGGCGACTACGGCAGCGACCTCTCAGACCTCTACCCCAAGTGTGTCGCGCCGCTGCTGGACGGCCTGTTCAAAGGCTACAACGCCACAGTGTTCGCTTACGGTGCGCACCGTGCGGCTCGGTGCACGCAGCGCCGCTGCGTGTGGCGCTGCCGTGCGGGAGCGCTCGCCCGGGCACATGCTGCTGCAGCAGGCGCATGCTCGGCTCCAGCTGCGCCCCGCCAGTCCATATGCGGCGCCCACGCGCGCACCCGCACAGCCGCATGCACACCCCGCTTTTTCAACGCCCTGCAGGACAGACAGGGTCCGGGAAGACCTATGCGATGGGCAGCGGCTTCACGCCCGGCGGCCCCTGCAGGGGCGTCATCCCGGAGGCAATGGAGGAGCTGTTTGCGCGCGTGGAGGCTGGGAAGGAGGGCGTCGAGTTCTCAGTGCGCGTCAGCTTTGTGGAAATCCACAAGGTGCGGGTGCTGCTGCCGGCGCATGGATGAAGGTGCAGGCGTTGGGATGTGGGGGGGTTGAAAATACGGGGCAGGGCAAACGAGGCAGGGCGACCTCCGCCATGAGGTCATGCCGATGCATTGCAGAGGGAGGGGGGCGGCATTAATGAGGGGTGATAGCAGAGGTGGGCGTGCTGAAAAACGCCCTTGACAGCAGGCGCGCATGGCTAGCAGATGGAGCGGGATGCACGCACGTCGTCCATATAAACGCATCGATGGCTTCGCAGGAGGAAGTGCGGGACCTGCTGTTCGTGGAGGGTCGGGGGGCACGGCCCCAGGTGAGTCAGGTCGCAGCATCAGGAGGGGTTGATATGATTGGGCGATGCAAGCGGACGCCTGAGCCGGCATGCGGATGCCAGAAGCGGACACCTGCACGTGGCGCGGTGGTAGTCCGACGGCGTGCTGCCTCACGTGCGTGGGGCGCCAGCCGACACATGGCCCCGCCGCCCCCTCCTTAGGTGACAATCCGCGAGCTGCCGGGCGGCGTGACGCTGGCGGGCGCGGTGGAGCGCGAGGTGCACAGCCGCGAGGAGATGGCGGGCGTGCTGGAGCAGGGCAGCCTCTGCCGTGCGGTGGGCGCCACCAACATGAACAACAGGTGGGTGGGCGCACTTGGGGGGCACGGGAGGTGCGCTGGCCGCTGGCAGGCGTGGGACAGTACCTGACAACCTGCACAGCTTGTGGTCTTTGTCACGCGGGCAAATGTAGTCAGCATGGGGGCAATCCCCTTCGGCGTCGCTTTATGAGACGGGTGTGCAGTGGGGATCGGAAGAGGAAGATGAAGGCGCTGTTTCGTCCGTGCTGCGTGCGCCCTTGACCTCCACGCAGGTCAAGCCGCAGCCACGCCATCTTCACCATCACCCTGGAGCAGCGCCGCGCCGACCCCGCGCCCCCCACCGCCTCGCGGCCGGCCTCCCCAGCGCGCCGCGCCGCGGCCGCGGCCGCCGGCGACGCGGCCGCCGCGGCCGCGCTGGTCGTGGAGGCGGCAGAGGAGGAGGAAGAGGACGAGGAGGACGACGGGGACGAGGGCGCGGATGGCGAGGGGGATGCCGCGGATGACTATCTGATCGCCAAGATGCACCTGGTGGACCTGGTGGGCAGCTGCCGGGCAGCTGCTCGAAACGCATTGAGCTTTGGCCGCCCTGGCCGACGGTGCAGCTGACCCCATGGCTGCCGCTTGCGCACTTCGTGCGTGTGCGCTGCCTCCGCTTCACGACCCACGGCCTGGATACCCTTGCTCACCTCCCCCCTCCCCTCGGGCCCAACCCAGGCCGGAAGCGAGCGCGCCAAGCGCACCGGTGCCGAGGGCGCGCGCCTGCGTGAGGCCATCAATATCAACAAGGGCCTGCTGGCCCTGGCCAAGGTGATCTCTGCCCTAGTTGACTGCCAGGGCCACGTGCCCTACCGCGACTCCAAGCTGACGCGGCTGCTGCAGGACAGCCTCGGCGGCAACAGCCGCACGCTGATGCTCGCGTGCGTGTCGCCGGCGGACGTGAACCGGGAGGAGAGCCTCAACACGCTGCGGTACGCGGACCGCGCGCGGCACATTAAGAACAAGCCCGTGGTCAACAGGGACCCCGTGGCCGCGCAGGTGGGGCTGCCGCTGCGCGCACGCGCTGCACTGGGCGGCTGGGCGCTGGGCGTTCCGACGTCGGCAAGATGGGTCCGTGTTGGCAGCGCAAAGGTCGCAAAACGGCCTGTGTGAAGGCAAGGTGTCGGCCCGCCGCACTGCGGCAAGCGATTTGCCCGCGCATGACGTGTACTGAGTCACGTCGCCCCCACATGCCGCATGCGCGACCGCTCATCGCGCCCCGAAGCTCGCCCAGCTGCGGCAGCAGCTGGCCGCGCTGCGCGCGGAGAACCTGGCCCTCAAGCGCACCATCGGCGCCGCCGGCGGCGACCCCGACGCGCTCGCGGCGCTGGTCAGCGGCGGCGCGCTGCCGCCGGGCGAGGCGCTGCGGGAGGCGTACGACGAGCTGGCGATGCGCTGCGGCGCGCTGGAGGCGCAGCACGCGCGCGACCAGGGGGAGCTGGTGGGTGGCTTGGGGCGAGGCAGGGGGGGCCGGGTTGGGGGTGGGGGCCGCTGCGCATGGTGGGGTGCGCCGTTCTTGGTGATTGGGCCGTAGGAGCCCTTGTATTGTGGGTCGCGGCCGCAGGCCGCCTGGTATCCAGCCTGGACCTAATGGTAGACAGGTCATGTTCTGCAGGAGAGCGTGTGCGAGAGAGATAGAGAGTGTGCGTTTGTGTGTGTGGGTTTGTGTGTGTGGGTGGGTGCATGCAGGTGCGTGTGCACTCCGTGCTCTCACTGCACATATGCAAAGCCATTGCGCCGATTGCTGTCTGAGCACCCTCGCCGCTGGTCTTCCAGGATGACCTGCGGAGCGAGGCGTCTGACTTGCGCGAGCGCGCGCTGGCCGCGGAGACGGCCCGCGACAGCGCACGCCTCCGCCTGCGCGCGATGAAGCAGGCGGCGGTGGACGCGGGCTACGAGAAGCTCAGCGCGCTGCACACGGGCGCGTCGGAGGGCGCCAGCTGCGGCGGGGCAGCGGCGCTTGCGGACGGCGCCGCTTCCGCGGCAGCCGGCATGGGCGGCGGCCCGGCGGCTGACGGCGGCGACGCAGAGGCGTCGGCAGGGGCAGCAAATTCGTCGGCGGTGATGGCAGCAGCAGCGTCGCAGGACGATGACGTCAGCCTCGACGCTGACGTGGACGTGGTCGCGGAGCTGCGGGGCCGCATCGCCGAGCTGGAGGCGCAGCTGCGCCAGGCGCGCTCGCTGCAGCGCGCGCAGTCGTCAATGCTCCGCAGCGGCGCGGCCGACGGCGTCGCCGCCGCCGCCGTCGCGGCCGCCGCAGCGGGAGGCGCGGGGCGACGGAGGGCGGGCAGCGCGGCGGGTGGCGGCGCGGGGGCAGTGGGCCCCAGTCGATACGCGAGCAGCGCGGGCGCGGCGGCGACGGCGCTGGACGTTCTGGATTGCGGCGGCTCGCCGCCGCTGTCGCCCGCGCACCGGCCCGCTGTTGAGCCGCTGCCGTCCCCCCTCGAGGTGTGTCGCGCACCTGCATGGCGAACGCGCGTCGGCCTGCGGCATTCGCTATCAACTCAGTTTCGAACTGTCCCTTGCTACTTTGACCAAGCCCCTCAAAGCTGGCACCCTTCAGTGGTTCGTACCCGCGTCTTAAGTCACATTCATGCATACATGCAATTGCACGCGCACGCTCAAGCACACGCGCTTGCATATGCGCGTGCACACACGTGCACACACACACACACACACACACACACACACACACACACACAAACACACACACACACACAGCGCACGAGCGCGCACTCACACACTCTGTTGTCCTTGGCCCCTCCTCAATCGTCTGGATTCTCCCCACCTCGCATGCACACACCCACCCACACACCCCATTACCCCACCCCCCCTCCTCAGGAGGGCGACTCATCGCGGGACGCCGAGCTCATCGCCGGCACCACGGCCCACTTTGTCAGCCAGGAGCAGCTGAAGCACCGCCTCGCTGCCATAGGGCGCCAGATGGTGGCCAAGCAGCGGCGGCTGGCGGCGCTGCAGGGGGCGGTGGCGGGGGACGGCCTGAAGGCGCAGTACGACGGCCACTTGCAGGTGGGCGCCCCTCGGCGTTGCTGTGGGTGTGCGCGCGCTTTCATGTAGGCGTGTGTGTTGGGGTGCGCGTGTGTGTGTGTTGTTAGATGTGTGTATGGTGTGTGTATGTGTGAGTGTGTGTTTGCCCCAGTTGGTGCTCATCGCCTGCGGAGGGCAGCTGGGGCTCCACACTCCCACCAGGGCGCCCTGGCAGCCCCTGTGTTGGCGAGCGGCCCCTCTTCATCATTCATGGCCAAAGCCCGGGTGAGTCTCTGGTGCGGTGGCGCACGCCGACGCACTGCCGATGGCCCGCCACCACGCAGGCGCTGCAGGCTGAGCGCGACGCGCTGCTTAAGGAGAAGACAGGCCTGCTGCAGGTGCGGCCGGCGGCGGCATGGGCCGCATGTGACCCGGCCCACCGGCCACACGGCACGTGCGAGCCCCGAGAAGAGCAGCCTTTGCCCCCCATCTCAGCCGCCATCTCCACGCCTGTCGCCGCCCGTCCGCCATCGCGACATTCCAAGAGGGCGCTGTCCTGCCACCGCTGCCGCGACAAAACCGCTTCCCCCGCACTCAACGGCAAACGCTCGCTTGCCGACGCAGCTCTCTTTTTCACCCTGAGTCAGTAAAGCTGCCTGTCACACCCACGATTCGACCCCGGGAACCCCCGCAGAAGCTGCACAAGGCGGCTGAGGCCAGCCTGGAGGAGCGGCGCCGCCTGGAGTCTCTGTACCGCGACAAGCTGGCGGCCGTGGAGCGACGCGTGAAGGAGCTGGGGGAGAAGGAGCGCGAGGCGCGGCGCGGGGCGAAGCAGCTGGTGCGAAGCAGGGAGAGGGGGCAGCGGGGCTGGCGGGTACCTGAGCGGGGGGGCTGGGCGTGGACGGTTGCGCGCGGTGGGAGACCAGCAGCTTTGACCCTGCGCAGAGCGAGGCGTGGGGGGTGCACCCCGTCACATGCACACACACGTACACGGCCACACACACACGTACATGCACACCCGCACGCACGCATCTGCACACGCATGTGCACACATGCATATACACACATACACACACACACACACACACATCACGCTTGCATCACAGAACGCCTTGACACTGATGACTCCCACCCCCACCCCCTTGGCTCATCTGCCGTCCTCCAACCCACACCACAGACGCGCGTTGAGCAGGTCGTGCGCCAGCTGCAGGAGGACATCCAGAAGATGAAGGGCCACAAGGCTGCGGTGCTGCGCCGCATGGAGCTGCGGGAGCGGGAGTTCAGGGAGTGGCGCACGGCGCGGGAGCGGGAGCTGGCGCAGCTGCGGCGCAGCGCGCAGCGGCAGAACGCGGCGCTGCAGCAGCACCAGGCCATGCATGTGAAGCAGCAGGTGCGGCGGCGGGTTGGGATGGGGCCGTTTTGGCTCAAAAGTTGGCGCGGCCATCAGATCGTCAGGCTTGTGGGGGTCTTTGGGGTTTTGTGTATCCCCGCCGGCTCCCCTGTGCATCCCTCCTATGTGCACCACCCTGTGAACCCCCAATCACTGTTGATGCCATGCCACTCGTGATCCCTACGAAACGCCCTCACCTGGCTCCGCCGCTCCACATCCCCTTCCCTCCCCTGGTCTCTGAAGCGTGCCCAAACCTGATGCCCCCGAACCCCAACCCCACTCCCGCCCACGCCCGTCCCCCAACTCCACCCCCGTGCAGGCCGTCTTGAAGCGGAAGACGGAGGAGGCGGAAGCTGCCAAGAAGCGGCTAAGGGAGCTCATGGAGGTCCAGGCCAGGGCCAGGTGGGGGGGGGGGTGACGTGAGATTCATGGCGGGGCCGGGGAAGAAGCAGGTGAGGAAGGAAACAGGGTCACGTGTGGTGAGTTCATGAGTGGTCTTGGCAAGGGCAGAAGGGGCAAGAGTGAATTGTGTGTAGGGGCAGGGGGCGGAGCAGGAGCAAGCGATGTTGGCACTGGCAAGCGGTGTGCTGCGGGGGGATTGGATGGGGTGGGGGGCAGGTAGGGGACACAAATGGATGCGCGCAGGAGCTGAATGAACAAGGGCCTGAGACGCCAGGAGATATTGATGACTGCGGGGATGACTGCGGGCATGACTGCGGGCACGACTACGGGCACCCAACCCAGCGGCCGGACGCTCTGCGCAGACCTGATTGTCGATCCGGTCGTGGCAGCCACCCATGACACACTCTGGCCTCGTTTTAAGACTCCTCCCTTGCTTCCCTTGCGGCCGCTCCCAAAAGCACGCCAGGCATCCCGGCTCCCGCTCCGACTCACCTTTCCCCCCTCCGCACCCCCCTTGCTCCCCAGGATCCAGCGCACCGACGCGGCTGCGCGGGAGGCGATGGAGATGCAGCCCAACGCGGGCGCGCCGCTGCTGCGGTCGGAGCGCGCGCGCAAGGAGTGGGTGGAGCAGGAGCTGGACCTCTGCAACACCAGCTGGGAGTACATGAAGGTGGGGGCAAGCTGCAGGGAAGCTGTAGGGAAGCTGCAGGGAAGCTGCGAGAGAAGCCCTTCGCTTGGCTGGCTCCGGGGCTGCGTCTGGCGATGGCGATGATGGGGTCGCGGCAGTCGTTGACCTTAACACCCTCGCAGCGATGCCATCCCTGTGTTCATTCATCCCACGATTGATGTGCTCGGCTGTCCCGGCAGGTGCTGGAGGGTGAGCTGGCGCAGCGCGCGGAGAAGACCCACCGGCTGCGCGAGGTGCAGAAGCAGCTGATGCTGCTGGGCGGCATGGTGCCGCCGAGCCCGGTCGTGTTCAACGCGCTTCGTAGCGGCGGCGGCACCGGCAGCGGCGGTGGCGGCGGCGCGCCGGGGACGCCGCTGGGGGC